TCGCGCGGGGGGCCGGCTGTCAAGGATCGTATCTTAGTGCGTTTGAGACATTTGAGGCTTTTCAAACGAGGAGAGACCCCCATTAAAAGCTAGATTGGGCACCTAAGGGCACCAGGGTCTTACGCGAGCCAGATATCCACCCCCCCCCGGAGCCATTTTGTGTCCTTTTGCCCCAGGTGGGGCTGGTGACACGGGCGCATCGGGGAGGCTGAGAACCTGGCACCTTTGCCAGGGAGCTTCCATGTCCCCCGCTGCACCAAATGAGCCTTACTAAAATAGAAAATAGCTGCCAAGCTGGGTATCGAGCAATTTTTTTAAAAAGTGAAAATGCAAATGTACAGAAAAGAGCTACTGCTCTGCCCAAAAGCTTAGTGGGCTCTACCAGGCTGAGCAGGAGGCCCGGGGTAGCCATCTCGAAACTGTCTCACTGTGAAAGGTGCTCCATGACAAACACGCCATTTGAAAACAGGACAATGATTCCTTAATCATTGAAGTGTTTTTAGAAATATTCTCCTTAAGCCATTTATTCATTGTGCTGCTCGTACCTGTCACGCCTTATAAAGGAAACCCTCTTAGATGCAAATTCTTCAAAGGTATTTAGGTATCGAGTTGCCATTTTATATACATTAATTTGTTGGTAGAAGGCACCTATATATTTTTTTAATAATTGGGTAGTGCCCTGATTTTGACCAAATATTTAGTGGATCCTTTTGCCTTAAGCATTTCATCAACTTTATTTGTCAGCTAACATTTGTGATCTTTCTTTTGCTGCTTTTTTTTCCCCAGTTTTTTCAGAGGGTGGCAGCTGAGATTTCACTGCAGAGCTATTAAACCCCTGTAAAAATGACAGAAAGTGTTGGGCGGGAAGAGTCAAGATGGATAACAACTGTTATTATGAGTACAGCTCTGCAGGTACCGCACTGTTTGTCAAGAGCAGCATCTGACTCACTGAACACTGAAAGAAGCATTTCCTATATTCTATACATGGAAATACTTCATGCGGTGTAAACGAATTCTATGCTATGTTGAGGAAAAAACAAAGTCATTAGCCTGAACTTGCTTCTACCGTAACACTGGTTCTTCTGGGTTTTTTTGTGATTTTTCTCTTAGCTATTTCTGTATCTATTTGGCTATCTATTTAGTATTCTTGCTACCCGCAAGCAGTTATACTGCTTCAGGGCTGTCTTCCTGACTCATCGTTCTTGCGCTGCACCGACGCTGCTTTCAATGAGTACTAAAATCTGCAAGGGGTGTTCTTTATTTTCTAGATTTCTCCATAAACATTTTATTTTCTAGTATGCAGTGTCAACACTGGGATAGGTTATTACTGGGTAAGTGCGCAATTTAGTTAAAAAACAGTGAGCCTCACGGGCATTAACGTATACTTATATCTGTTAGTATCACAAGCCTAGACTCTCTCTGTTCCTCAGTAAAGTGAAAGGGGCTCTTAATTAGTTCCTGACGCTGAGGCCATTTTGATGCCAGCCTGAGAGAATTTAGAGGCTGAGGGCTTTGGCTCACAAGCAAGGACAGAGCGTACATTAGCTTGGCTGACAAGGTTACCACGCTGTCTCTGCTGCACCAGTCGGGGAATGGCGCTGAAGCAATTCCTGAACCGCCACCATGTAAAGCCTGTTCTTATTTGCCTGCTTGCCTCAGAATGACAGCCTGAAAATTGTACCAGTTTGGGAACTGTTTCAAGAGCAACTTAACCCTCAATATGTTAAGAGATGTCTGAGGGCGGTGACCTCATCAGCCATACCGGTGTTACTCACCTCTGTTCTTAAAAACCTAACTCTACTCAAAGCTACTGCCATTGGTAAAGACTCCTTGGAAGCAAATGTGTGGAAATAGCTGCAATACAATTCCAAGAAGACTTTTCTTTTATGAAGGTGTTACTTTGCATCAGTTTGATTACTTCTGCATTATGGTTTTTCTTCCTATGCAGTCATCCTTTTCTTATAGTTTTTGCTGATATTTGTACATTAAATAATTCATTATCAACAGTGGCTTTGAAGCAGAGAGTTTTTCCAAAACTGCAGTCACACCTCATAAGCAGCTGGTACTGAGCGTTCCCCTTCCAGACACAATTCGAAACATGAAATTTCTGGTAACTGTCTCCTTCATGGTTCAACTCTCCTCCTCCCTACATTGCATTTAAAATGGGTAAGCTAAAAGATGAGTTCTAAAATCTTAATCTAAATCTAATCTAATCTAATCTAAAAAGGATTAAGTGGTGTAATGTTTAAAAAGTATGGGCTTGAGCAACTTTTGTAGAACACACTGTAAAAATGCTTTTTGCAGGCTGAAAAATATATCCAAACACACTCCCCTCTGCAGATGATTATGTTGCATAGTGCAATGTTCTTGTTTTCCTGAGTAGATTGCAGTCAAAAAGCTTTAATTAAAATCATGCCCAATACAGTCTTTCTGAGCTATCTTCCAAGTGAAACGCTGACATCCATGAAAATGAATGCAGTCTAATTAACTGGAGTTACAGAAACACACTATTGTACGTTCCTCATTTCTGCAAATTCCCCTTTAGCACATCGGTAAAAAAAAAATAGACTGTAAAATGTTGGAGGTTCTTTATGTATTTTAGAAGGGTTTCCTGTGGCAAACTGAATGCACGCATACAAATTGTGATTCAATTATTTGATAGCATCCAATAAAAATACCTCAAAATTTCATTAACTGAAAAAGTTCAGATAACGTTTTACTAGTTTTTTATTGCAAGTGGAATAAAAAATATTTTCTAAACAACAATACGAAAGTTCTATCTATGATCCTTCAGACAATGCTTTAAGAATATTTCTCTCCAATTTGCTGGCTGAAAACTTGTTTTAAAATAACATTTTAATATTTATTTAGAATCACGAAATTTCTACACTTCTACGGAGTCAACAACACCGAGTTCGATATTCAGATTCGGTGGAAATTGGATCTGTGATATTCTCTCTTTCTGGTACAGTATTTTGAAGTTCATTTATGTTTTTAAACTCGTAAACTCTTACAAGGTACAAAATGAGGCTCTGTCGTAGGCTACACTGCATTGGATAAAGCTGCCTTGCTGAAGCGTCATACAATAGCGGAAGGAGCTGTGCTGTGATTGCACATGAGTCAGAACTGAGAACTTTGGGGCTAAAACATTTTCATTGGTCTTTGCTGTCATTGGACTCCTTGTAGCACAGCTACTTGGATTTGATGATTATTGGCTGAACTGTTCAGTAAATTCTTGTTATAACTGAGCAGACACACTGAAGTGTCACTAAAATATAAGAGAGCCATCAGGATTGTTAGTGTTCATGACCATTAACACAAGAATGAATCAAGACCCTTGGCTTTCATCTTCCAAGTTGAGTTTGCAGACCTGGTGGTGAGGGAGGAGTTAAGGAAAGGAAAAAAACTTGGGTTTTTTTTTTCAGTTGAGCAGGTTTGATTAGGAAATCCCTGACACTGCAGATATGAAATATCTGTCTTTCCTTGTTAGAGTTGAAGATGCTTTAGACAGATAGACCAAAATAAAAAGATAGAACTGAATCTTTCCTGAACTGTAAGGATTAACAAAGCATACCTTGGCCCAGTCTTTTGTGTCCTTTGTTGTTAAACCTCCTGAACTTGAGCTTCTTAACTTTCCCTTTTAGAATAACCCAGTTGATGGAGTTATAATTTAATTTTTTCCCTGTGTGCGTCCTCCTGTTTCTTAGTATTATGAATAGTATGGTAGACATGTCGGCTTAATTCTTAAGATGTGGCAGGTGTCTCTATCTTATTTAGAGATGGGAACTGCTGACCTCTTCAAGCAGTATTGGCATTTGCCCTAAATTAATTCCATATAGCAGCTTCTTGTTCCTGACGCATTTTCTTTCAAAGGCATTCAGATATCTGTCTGTACTTTTAGTAGATTGAACACTTTTATTTTGATGTTACGCTAGAAAATAACCTCCAAGTTATTTGTAGCTCTGTCTTAAATTTACCAATCATTGCTGGCCAAATCTTTTGACAGGCAAATGCAGTAATTGCCTCAGGACTGTTGTCTCCAATACCTTGCATGTCACTGTCAAGATGATGTGTAAATTCATTCACATCTTTAAACTAATGCTTGAACAGGAATGCTGCTTCCTGATGGGATATTTGTAGTGAGAAGGCTTCACCTGAGTACTGCCGTGAAGCATGCATTTATCCTCTAATCATTTTCTTCTTCAATAGGGGTTGCATTTATACTGGCAGATACTCAAGACTTACTTACGACAGGAGAAGAGCAGTTTTTAGACCGCGTTCAGAAGTTCATAAACATTCATCGGAATAGTTTTTTAGTCTTGTCAGCTGTCCTTCACGGACCAGAAGAATGGAATATAATGTTCAGGATTCAGAGAAGGTATGAATGCAACATCAAACCCAACTTCTTATTACTAGGAAGAAATTAGGTATAACTGTACTCAACAGTCATATATGCAGGTGAATTTTATTTTGCTCATGCACTGGAAAATTAGCTGAAAGATACATTTCTCACTATCTCACTGATACGTATCTCACTGAGCCATCTTATTAATGAAAGATGAAAAGAATGGTGAGTGAATCAACCTGACATGTCATAGTCAACTCAGCAAAAGGGGACATTCCTTAAAATATAGCAAATAATATTCCTTTCAATCACTTTAGGACTACGCAGTATAATACTTTTTAAAGATTTTTTTTTGCACACTGGAAAAATGTGCAATATTCCTTAATTCTTTTAGCTCTGTCAGCATATTTTTTATGGTAATTAAAAAAAAAAACAGGTAAGATTTCTTCGTAAAAAAAGGCTTTATTGTAAAGCATATTCTTTGCCAGCTTTTAACAGCTGGTTACTTGGAACAGCATCTATTATGTAAAGAGCTGGAACAACTGAAATAGTAATCAGTGTTATTTTACACTGAAAGTGTAAAACTGAACATTAAAATTGGCCTGTTTAAAACATTATCTGTGATTTCTACTGAAGCCTGAAAACTCATGTTTCAGTACATACATGCTGAGAACGTTATCAAATTCTGTGTTCTGTACTTCTACCCTAATCAAAGCCACTTTTTTGTAGGTACAGTAGCCCAACTGCAGTTGATTTTCACTCTTCACATCAAATAAGTGACTTTCTAAGAGAGTTTATGATCTTTACCTCCTTGAAATTAGCACTAATTTAGTTAAGTCCTGAGCACACTGCCGATTGCTGATAAGTAGCGGAGCGTATGGAATGAAATGTAGGGGTCCTATTACCCATTCGTGAAAACTCCATACATTTTATGAGAGGTCTTAAAAGATGCCATCATTCCACAAGAACATGCTATTCAGCTGATGGCAGAGCTAATTCTCCATCTACTTTTGTGCCTTTGTAGGCTTGATTTCCAGGATATGCTGATCACAAACAAATGCAGCGTTTTGAAAATATATTCCATTTGCCAAGTCAGTAACTGTATTAAAGTAAAAATTATATTTTTGTCATTGCAGGCCACACCAAAGTGATGTTGACAAGGCAAAATTATATTTTGAATGCGTGTGCTTTGTTACTAGCTGTTCTGCCATTGTATGCAAATCAGTGAATGCATTTTTGCATTGGTGGTGGTGGGGTGAAACTTGCTCTCCCAAATTACAAGTTGCTTGTTGGATTTGTTAAAAAACAAAGCAAGCCCCCTGATGTTTTCCAGAGGTCTTTCTGTATTACTCTTTTTTTCCTTGCTTATCTATAGTTTTTTGTAATTGGGAAGGATTTTTTTCATTAAAAGCAACATTACAGGATTGTTGTTCAACACCGTGAACACTTTATGTAGGTTTGTGTATATGAGGGAGGTGGGAGGGAGAAACATTCTTCTTCATCACACATCCAGAAAATGAGCATTCCAGTAATACCCTCATTAAATCCACACTGATTTTTCAACTCCTTGGAGCAAAGTCTAGTCATACGTTTATAAAGGTCAGTATTCTGTCCATTGATCAAAATTAATAAAACAAACTAAATTTAGACTTGGTATAATTGGAAGCAGTACTATTGATAGAAATGGATTTTACAAGTACTTACCCCGATACATGAATTGCTGCTTGATTGTGCTTAGTTCATTCATGCTTTGCTTTGCCAACAGCTGGTACTGGCAAAGCAGCATCTGTTAATTTTCCTAATCCTAAAACTGGGATTGAAAGGTAAATCAAACCCCATTTCTGCACTAGATTTTAGCAAAACTCAACAGAAGGATCCTGGCTTCCTACTCCTAGGAAAAGGCACTACTTATATTTTTACTGATTTAGAAGAATGGGCTGCCAAGTTCAGCACGTATCTAAATATCAAGGGGCTTGATGTGAATGAGTCCAAGTCATCAGACTAAGGGGGAAAACAAGTGGTAAACACAAAGGGAGGTCAGAGGGAATACACAGTGGAGCAGCTGCATCCCTCTTTTTATTAAATTTGTCATTATTTAAACAAATTCCTCAGTCCTTGTCCTTTAGGCTCTAGAGTGTTTTAGCTCTACAACGGAAAATGGCAGCAATACTAACTACATTGTCACTGTAACAACACACTTAAGGTACAAGCCTAAAACGAGAGAAAGGTTCTGTGCTTGCCTCTTCCATGACTGCCTTGAATTAACTACTGATGCTAATGTTTTGTATCTTCAGATCCCATTCTCAGGATAACAGCTACAGAAGTACATACGAATAACAGATATTTATAGAGAGAGTAAGAGAGCACATTTTAGGCTAAGTTATTTGAACGTCCAAGTCTTTAAATGAAATTCTTACCAGAATTATCCCGTTGGTTTAATTACTTCTAACTCAAACTATCTAGAAGCACCAATCTTTGTACCTACAGAGATTCAGGTCAAATTCTGAAGTATTTTTTAGAACAGTGTTTTTGGATACTTTCCTGTGTTCTGCCAAAGCCATCAAAAATACCTTTTTTTGGCTGACATTTTGAGAACACTCAGGTCTTCGACAATGTATCAGAGGATCGTTTAGTTCTCCTTGAACGTATGCATGCTTAAGAAGTAGAAAAGATTGCTGTTCTAAGAGCCCTAGCAGAGATAACGATAAACTAGTGGTACAGAAATGAAACGGATACACAAACATCATAGACCCTGCAGTTGCTTCTAAAGATAAAAATAATCCTCTGTGTACTTGTGAAAGCACAGTTAGAAAAGTCATGTGCATCACACTGGAATGCTTTTCTAGTTTTGTGGAATAACAAATTAAATGTGCATTCTAGAAGTAACCTTAAATTATTTTGATGTGCAGATTCCTGGGCAGTAATTTACGTATCATTCCAGTTCATAATACAGCTGAGACTGTTAAGTTTATGCTAACTATAGCTAAGGTGAGTCTAATTGCATATACTTAGAAATATCAGGTCCTCAGAATTTCAGAAGTATATTAACCTAGAAAAATCAAGAACTATACAATATGTGTTTGTCCTTAATGGAAATTTTTGTGTCATATTCATCACAATCTATATAATACACTGTGGTAGGAACACAACTCAGATGCTTTAGCCAAGTGTTTAAACTACTGCTAAAGGTAACTTTAAAAGCTCTCAATATCATTTATGAAGACAAATGAGATATTTAAATATTATTTACCACTGTTAAATTAGGATGTCTTCACTTCCTCTACTAATGCAGAACCAGCATGACATCAACATGATTTCTAAATATTTAATAGCTTCTTAAAATAAAACCTCAATCTAAATTCTGTAGTTACTTATGGATTTTTAATGATGCACATACTAGTCTATTATGTCTATAGCTTAACAATTCTTATATAGGTGCATATTGTTCTTTATCTGTATCACTGCAAGGTATCCCATATGCATAAACACATTTTTCATTGAAAAGTCCAAAATATTTGCAAAAGCTCTTTACACATTTTTCCATGAAAATTCTAAGTTGATATTAACTATAACAATACTAGCAGCACCCCACGTACCAAAAATAAGAACAGCACGACATTACAAAGCAGATACTTTTTATCCTCTCCTGAGGTGGGCATCTCAAAACAATAAGCACTAACCTATTTAGAGTATTCATCATTTTAAAAGTTTACAAACTCCATCTCATTTATTATGCAGCAAGAATTGTTAAATGTGTATTACACTGTTGAACTCCACTTTTCTAACTTTTTATGGAATCTATTGATGTCTCTTGTCTAGCCCTTTAATACAGTATTAACCTGAAGTCCTTAAAATTACTGCTGATCCTATAAATTTTAATCTGCTCTTCTACTTGTTCTGAATTAATTCACCAGATTTCAACAGGAGTGTGCCATAAGAAGTGATGACAGTACATACCACAAGTTATCTGTCCCCCCCCCCCGCCTCCCCCCCCCCCCTTTTTGTTGTTTTTTTTTTTAGCAGTGCCAATGTTGGCACTGGTCTTGCTGCTAAAGTGATACATCAAATCAGCTCTGTGTATACCATCCCTAAATATCTGTTTCGGAGAACACAATTCAGTTATTATTATGCTAAAAAAATCTTACATTTGTACTATTTGGAGAATAAGATGTTGGGTATTCCTTTATCTAAAAGTTATTTTGCTCTACTAATATTTTTCTTTCCTCTAAGATAACTTCCAAGCCACGCGCAGATGATATTCATTACAAAATGGCAATGGCAAAAGCCCACATAATAGAAAAGAGTCCAGTTTGGAAGATGCTTCAGCAGTACCAGTTGCACTGTAATTAATTCAGTGTTTGGTTGTTGGTGGTGGTGTTTTTTTTTTTTAATTCATAAAATATAACAGCTACATTTTAAACAAAATAAATGCTCTTAAAATATATTGTTACATTTTCAAAAGACTGTATACAACTTGCGCATTTGGAATTAAAACATTAGTTGTATATTAAACAACTATACTGTGCAAAACTGGCATACATCTGTATGTCATATATTATACCAAATATGCATTCTAACAAAAAAGAAAATAAATTTATGCTTTAACTGCACTATAGAGAAGTCATCCTTATTTCAGCTTGACTCTGAACATATGGGCTTATCTGTACGTAACTGTTTCCCAAAATAATTAAAATACTTAATAAGCCGTAAGGAAAAATTTCATCATTAAAGATAAGGATGATCAAAATAATTCCAAAATAGATTTCTCATGCATAAATAGTTATGTTTATGAAGCCTTATATACTTTTTTATATATATATATATATATATATTTTTTTTTTTATATATTTTTTTTTAAACACAAGTTTCATTTGCTGTGCTATTATGTTTTAGCATCTTATTTAGCTCAAGATTGATGTTTGCTTTTCTTTAAACCTGGTTTCACTCACCATTGTCTCTCTACTGTAATTTATAGCAAGAGATGTACAGTCTCATTTGATAATACAGAAGTTTGTTTGTTGATATTAACAAGTACTAACGAAAATAGCTAGCATTTACACAATGCTTTTTTAATTCATGGTTCTCCAAGTACTTTATAAAAATCTTCATAATTCAGAACTTGAGTCAGCAAGTATTACGTAACAAGTTTTGAAAACATGAACAGAAAAATAAATGCACAGCTGTGCCTCCTTGCCACAGGATAACAACAACAACATCTTGTTAAGTAGATGTAGTTTCTAAACTTTAGAAAAAGTGTCAAACTGAAGAAGAGTATTTTAAGTAAATAGGCCATATCTGTGAATCACATACAACAACAGTAAAAAGAAAAAAAAAAAAGAAAACAAAACAGAGCAAAAAGACATGTGAAGAACAAGATTTGCAATTCTTCTAGAAGCCATTCTAAATTACTCTTCTTTAAAGACTGGTAGCCTCCTTTTCAAGTAAAATATAATAGCTAGAATCAACTTGCAATAAGCATGTTCATTCAAATGTTTCAGCTGAGCCGAACATTTTCATCTGTCCCAGCTTTTATTTTCACTTCAATGAGTTCTTCTACTCGTGCTAGAACACTTTCTATTAAATCAAATGTGAAGAGAGCGGAGTGTAAAACCTGAAATGACAAAGGACATTAATATTAATTTTTATTAGAACAATGATTTTCCTCATCAGCTGTACATGTATGTTTGTCTCCAGATCTAAAAGTTTCAGTACTTCTGACTTTGAAGGAAATACAAGCTCACCTGAAGCTGCATTTCAGTAGTCATGGCAGGCATCTTTTCCCCACTAACAGTTACAGAACAGACTCTGTTAGAATTGTGTGCCTCTGTAGGAGAAGAGACAACCAGACATCAGCCTGCTGTTTCACATAATATATTAAATATTCTTTTCATTTGAAAAGTTATCATTCATTCATTAGCATTCACTGTTGTAAGAGCAAACCTAGGGATTGGCCAAAGGTTGAGGAGGGAAGGTGCTGAACTTTAAGGGAGGACAGTTTGACCTGGATGCTATCTCTGCACTTTCTATATGGCATATGACTAAACACTTAGTCTATTCCTGGTAATACCGTCTATGAACTGGTGTACTAGACAAGTTACATAATACAATTAACTAGAGTTGCAGCAATTAGTCTATTTTTCTGTAATTCAAAACAATTTTATATAGCTAAAATTTACCTTAATAGAAAAAAAAAAATCTGGTCACTTTTATTTGAAACATTTTTTAATACTTCCTCATCTAGAGAGATAGAGGAGGCCTTTCAACTTGACTTAATGAATCCAGACAAGAAATATTTATTTTATTAAGCAAAGGTTGCAGGCTCCTTTGTTTCAGGCAGACCTCTTGTAGCAGGCAAAACTAAAAGGACAGGTCTGAAAACTGAGGAGAAAATTCTTACATTCATACTATGTATTTGAAATTTATTGGAATGCTTACAAAAATTACACATTGGAGAGAAAGACTAAACCACTTATTGTCATGGGTTAGATATTCTCTCCTGAACTCACATTTCCTTATGCTTTGTCAAAGGCTAGAGAAATGTAAGAGGATTGTTTAAAAAACAACAAAAAAATAATTTTAGAGAAGGGTTTCCTTCAGAAAACTATCTACAGGTTGCTTTCAGAAAAACTCCTCTTCCTCTGCCACATCCTAACATGGTTTACAACAACACAAGAGGATAAGACTATGGGCAAAAAGCATTACTGACAATTTTGGCAGCTGAAGCAAGTTCCTTGGGCTATCTTAATTATATTGGAGACCACAAAAAAAAACAGAGGATCTGACATACATCGAGGTGGCCTAAAGCAGCTGTAGCTATAACTCTCACTCCCTATAGAATGTGCATGTCTGTTTAACCCAAAGGAGAATCTGACTGTGTGTGTTGGATTAAACAAAACAAAAAATACACAGAATGTAATCCTTCAGTATTTAAGAGAGTACCTATTTGCTGTGTGAATTGTTTCTTCTCTTATTAACCTCCCCACACCTAGTATGAAAACTAAGCGTTATATTTTCACAAAGAGGCTTAGCTGTCCCTGTCTAACCTTAAATCAAAAGTAAAAGTATGGAACAATGTCTTCATGTGGTGGTTTAATATCTAACAGATCATATTCCATTCCACATGATGAAAGAAACGAGTTCAGATTTTTTTGACTACTAATGAAAACTGTTAGTATCAAACATAGCAACTACTGAATTATTATTTGAATCCTGGAATAGTCTAAACAGTTAAATAAAAACGTGATCTATATAGCATTCACCAACTGTTTGCAGTTTGTAAACATAAAGAACAAAGCTAAGAAGAAAAACTAACCTCTTCTGTTTTCTTTCTTATTCTTTATTTCTGCTTCATAGTGTGCTTTCGACATATTGAGTCCTACATGCAGTGGTTTTAAAAAATTTTGCTCGATCTTGGCAAGCAAGGTCCATACACCAGACTATTCAAACAGAATAGAAGAGAGAAGTATATAAATTAGTTTTATTGAAGCAGCATAACGCTAAGCTTTCAAGTACAACCTTTATTTTATTTTATTTTTTTATTTGACTGGTTTTAAAACACACATTTCTGCTCTAGGAGGAAAGAAGGGAAAAACAAGAATTTAGACTCATCCACTTGAGCATAAATAGCATGGTGATGCCTCTTTAAACCCTCCTCTCTCTCAAGGCAAACTAAAAGTTTTCTTTAAAAAAAAAAAAATTTTTTTACCTCATACTGGATTTAAAAATATACACTTCACATGATGCTGTCAGTTAAATGAAAATGTATGTACTATAAACAAACAGGCACTGAAGTCTGCAGCAGTCTGGAAATATTGTGGCATATTGCCAAAAACAAACACAAAAAACAACATAAAATCAACATAAAATAGTATTTATTTTGCTTCTGCTACTTCTATCTTGCTGCATTTTCAAAATTATTTGTTGAAAACAGGAGGATTGAGCAGTCCCAAAAAAAGGGCAAACAGTATGTAGACTGGTAACTATAGCAATGGAAATGCACATTTTCAACTCATTTTTGTAAGTAAAGCTGAAAGGATGCAGTATGTTTGGAGGGGGTGCTAGCTACTTTCTCAGGATAGTACTTCTGCTAATGACAGCAAGTAAACATCAGCTATATCTTCTTCTATGATAATTCAGCAGCAAAATAGCACAAATACTTACATTAATGCTCCAGAATTAACATTCTATTGAGATGCCCAATAAAAGCCATAGTAAACGTCATTCTCCCCAAATATAGAAGGCCTTGTCTATATTGCATTCAGTTTAAGGAGCATTATAGGAATGTTATTTAATTTGCTACTACCCTAACCTTTTTTTCCTCAATTGTTCCAGTGAATTAGGCTCTATCAGTATACAGGAACTATGTGTACTTACTTGAAGGTCTTTTTACCGTTTTAGAACACCTTGCCATTTTTTTCCCCAAGGTTATTAGAATATGTACTGTCAAATATGTACTGTATTCCAATCTGCCTCAAGACATGCACAGAAAACTGTTATACATTTGCTCGTTGCAAAATCAAATTCTGCTACAAGCTGTATCTATGTTACTACTATATGCACGTAGCCTCACTGAAAAGGGTAAGATGCATTACTGGCTCTGCTGCACTGGAAACCGCGTTCACAGGCAAGATCCCACCTTACAGACTTTAAGACAGGAATTGTTTTCCCATCCCTACCCTTATTAACTTCAGTGTATTTTTTTAACCAAGAAAATGGCATTTAGCATTCATTCTACTAGTGTGAAGATTTTAATGAAATCCCTAATGAATCAGAATTTAAAAAAATGTGTTATATTGTTATGCTTTGTATTAATTCATGATCCTAGTCAGAGAAGCCAAAGCGATAAATGAACCCTTCCCCAGTTTGGGATGGGTGAAGGAAGGAGTTTACCAAAATGGCACCCAGGAAGGAAACAAGAGAGACAAGGAAAAGAATCTCAAAAGCAAGGCTGTTCAAGGTTACACAGCATGAGAGGAAAAATTCTCTACTTTGGCACCTTAGAAGTTTTTAGTTACAAAACTGCAGTAGAAGAAAATAAATATAATGCAGTCTTTGTGTCTTTAGATATAAGAACCGTTTATATGACTGTGCTTTCTTCAGGCAATGGCCTCAAAGAACAGTGAAAGGAGGATAAGAGTAAGAATTCTCAATGGTAACTGGTATTGTTGAGTACAGGGGAAATGCACCAAATTTTAATGCTAAATGACAGACAGTTAACTGGTCTTACAAGAAGACTGGTAATTATTTCCACTTGAATGGAGCTCCAATAAAGAAATAACCTTCCAGAAAAATACCGATTTTTATACTTGATTAATAAAAGCACTTGTTACAGAGTGATCAAAATATCTGAACTTACATGAAAGAGACATTTTCTTTCTGCCCCGTTTGCACTATATGAAGGAATAAATAAAAAAAAAAAAATAGGAAGAACATGCAGGGCTCAAAGTTAAGAGAAAAAAAATCAGAAGAGAAGATGCTATTTTTTCATCAAACCATAGGGATACTCCTTATGCCAGATACTAGGCAACACTGTTAAAACTATTGTGCACTTCTTTTTATAGGTTTTCTATGATAATAAAGGAAGATTATTTTAAGAAAAGAGCTATGCATTATAAAACTTACATGAAACTGAGTGGACCACAATGAGCACTTAAATAGAAATCATTCCATAAGTCTGAGAAACGGTTAGAGCCTATCAATATTAATTATATTAATAGTAAATTAGAAATGAACCAATTGAAGGCTATTCTTACCATTTTTTTTCCACAAAATGGTTTTAGTAAGCACTATAAACTATTTTATCACCATTCTATTCAGACTAATAACATTGCTAAGCACATATGAAACTTGCATTCAAATTGAAGTGCTCTGGAAGCGGATCATAAATTTTTCTGTATTTTAGAAGACAGAGAAAATAGCATGCCAAAGTGACTTACCCCAAATCAAAAAGAGAGTCAAGGAATGGGGAGCAGGAAATAAAACACCTTGGGATACTTATCTGATATTTAAAATATTAATCTGACCATGGTATCACTTATTCAAGTCATGAAAGGCTTAGCTCTATTTATAAAACTGAAAAGCAATTTTAATTTAAGCTTTAAAAAGTACCACTGTCACTAATTTAAAAAAAGTATTTGTAATGCAAAATCAAAGTCTCTAGTACCAAGATTAGATGATATTGGCAGCTGATAAAAAGCGACCGAATTGCATGGATTAGAGGAATGTTGGGACATAATGATTAAAAAAAAAAAAAAAAGTCAATATAGTTGCATTTGTTATTTGAATAAGGAGCCTTTCAGTAGTGGAACAATGTCCAAAAACAGAATACAAACAATTCTAGTGGCTTTTCAACACAGTAGCTGCACAATGCAGGCCAGAGCACTCAAAATTATAAATCAATTGCTAGAATATGGAATCCTTACATTGACCCAGTTGTGAAATTTAAACAACGAGTTTTCCCTTGACTATCCAGGGGCACGCGTCCACCAATAGCTGGATAGCAGTGACTACACACCAGTTACAAAATCCCAGATCTGTCATAATATACTACAGTGAAAAGCCATACAACAGCTGAATGATAAACATGGATTGTACTGATCTACCAGTAACATATGTTGCTAACTGCTTTAAAAGAGCTAAACAGAACAGAAACAAAGAGGCAAGGATTACCGGTAAAGCTATAAAATCCTGCTTTAAATGAGACACCATAAAAATTATGCGTATAAAATACATAAGGGCAGGGCCCTTATTTTTAAAATACACTGCAAAGTTTAAATACGCAGAGTATTTCTGAAATATTTACATTCAAACATCCAAGCACAGGAGACCTGAAGGTGAGGGAGTATACCTACTCCCCACCAATAGCTAGGTAAACTGCAGTGGTGGACCGCTTAGCCTATTAAGTTAGCTTTGTGTATGAAGTACTTTATGCTGTATCTGGTAAAGCAAGGTAGGAGGAAACAGGAACAATGTATATAAAAAGAGAGATCATACATAGGAAAAGAATTATGAACTAAACATATGCTATGCCTGTTAGAACTCTAGCTGAGAAAGCCTTTCCCCTACAACAGAGATCTCCAAAAAAAAATGAATGATACACATTATAAACTGAGCAGCTTGTAAAGAAGACAGACTGTATTAGGAAGAAACCAATCCGGATCAGTAGGACATGCTTGCCACTTGCAATTATAGCAGTGGAACTAGAGATTTCCTTTCTTCTCCCTTTTGGCCAACGTTTCAGATGTTGTAAAACGTAACCATTTTGATAGGGGAAGTCGGAATTTCACAGTATCAAGGATAATGCAAAACTATACCAGAACTACAGTACAGTCTGTGGGATTAGCAAGTAGGAAGAAACTATTCATATTATTTTGCTTGGAGGAAGGGGAAAAATGAAAAACCCAAGGATAAAGCTGATTCTCCCATTGCAATCCTTCTTTTCATTTGTATGCACTGAAGATCTCCTACACTGTGCTAAATTGGATAGGCCTATCAATTCCGTTTGTTCCTTCAGAAGGCGGATCTTACACACAAGAATTCGTTTGATGTTAATACCTAGAGAAGCTTTTAACACGTATCTAACATTCAGCTTAATAGTTGCTGCAAATATAGAATATTTGTGCACAGTTAAAATTGTGCAAATATGATTATTAAATACTGTGGAAGAAATCTTAATACTAACAACTTTTATTTTAGCATGTTGCCGAAAAAAAAGTATTTTTACTGAAGATGAATAAAAGGAATCTCTTGAACTGCAAAGAGTTTGTAAAGAAAACCATTATACAACATTTGGGGCTTCAGGGATAACACTGAACAAGTAAGGAAGAGTGACAAATTAAGTATGTTTTTTTCTCATGGTACTACTTCATAGAGATTTCACTTTGTGATGCCATCCTCTGAAATTATGGACACAGACCACAATTCATTGAGCAAAGTAAAAGGATTGGCTTGCTTATGTTAACAGTAAGTATGAACGCAATCAATTTTCATCAGAACGAAATAACACATCACGCATCTCTTAATGTAACTAACAAAAATACCACTTCTGGATTTCTAAACACTGCAAAGAGGAATCAGAAGAAGATATTTTTGTATCAGGGCTAATTCATATGAATTTGTTCACATGACTCTGTTCGCATGAATTTGCCCAGCTCTCAGCTAATCAATTAACACTTACTTGATTATCGTATTCACTATCCTTAATGATTAAGTATCTCAGTAGATTTAGTGATGCCATAATTCTGCGAATTAAAAACATTATATCATTTAGTGTACAGGTCTACATTACAGGGATATTAACTTTAACAGCCTATTAGCCAGGCATCCTAAAAACATCAATTTATACAAAATGCAGCCATTCATCCGCTGAGCGATATAGGCTGATTCAGAGCACCAGCCTGCAGTAACTTCCCTTTTACAACAGAAGCTGACACTTTACAATTAAGATTAAAACTGGCAGCAGATTGGAGACCGCTGGTGATTGTGAGGGAAAGATTTTCTGAGGAGACTGAACTGTATTACAGAATTTAAGAAGCATCAGAGTGAAGAATGGATATAAAGCTTATTAACTTCTTGCATTTCACCTTTCCCCTCACTTACACATCTTAGCATCTATGATTTTTCTTTATTGTTTCTTTCCCCCTGACGTGTGCTGCAACACCTTATTCTGAACTACCTGAGACACACTCATACTACAGGGAGGGAGGAAGCAGAAGAACAGGAATTAGTAAGAAGACATATAGCTCCCCCACCCACCCACCCACCAAATGCATCACTGGCGATCCAAACCAGTGACTGGAAACTAACGTAACAGTTGTCTTTAATGCTACTGAATTTTTACTTTCGAGTGCTTTGTAAATATCCCCTTTGCTTTTGTTTTACTCTAGATTCTAGCAAAAAACTACTCATTGATATTTCCGAATAAACAGTAACACTGCCTGCAGTTATGGTATACATCGGTTTTTAAGTAGCTGTGCGCTTCATCTGACCACCACTACCCTGCTGATTTACAAGCCCAATCTTTACTCACGATATAGGAAGAGACTTGTCCTATACAGAAGATTTTCAAAGACATTTCCAGTTATTTTTGTATTACTTAATGGCAGTATTGCTGTTCAGGTGCTTCTGTATTCCCACTGATGAGATACAGGACTCCCAGCAGCAGTCCGTGAAACAGCCTTGAAAAGGCTGTGCTATAAGATGTACCAGATAGTTGTTACTCCCCTGCATCACTAAGGCAACGTACTGCATTTCTTTTGTTCTTCCAGCTGCTAAAGTTCCTTTCCTGCTTCCTCAGAAAGCTGACAACCCACATATCCCTTAAGGAATAAAGCTTTACCTGTTCTGCAATTTGACATCAGGTATTACATCCTACAGGTGGGAATGCAGAAGGAATTCCTTTCTTATTGTTAACCTCAACATAATTGAATTGTGACATTTTTCATGTAGAGTTAGTTGAATGGATGGTTGAAATAACTGATCATTCCCATCTCTAGTTCCAAAATTCTAAAATACATTGATGCATTTTAGTAAGGTAGTTTGAAGTCTTCTTTTAAATGGTCAAAAAAAGCAGAAAAGCTTCTAATTGTGATTACAGCTCGCTCACCTGTCTGAATTTTGCAGAAGATCTGTCTCAGCACCTTCAGGAAGCAAAAGCACTAAATCTAGAAGGGAGATGAGGTGATGTCCTGTAAACCAGCTATTGTCATGTACCTTCTGAAAAACAACACAAAAAGTTCAGCTGAGTGCAAAGTTTAAATCTTAAATAACAACAATTATAATTTTGGGAAAACAAAAAAAATCAAATGCTGGAAGAAATGTTTTCTAGTTACTGCAAGTGATCAAAACACACTAGTCTAGGAGATATATTCTTCTCTACTTTGTCTCTCCTTGACATACTTCTTTTCAATTTCATCAGAATGAATTATCCACCTCTTCATCATACCACCATCAATAGAATTCATATTTGTTTACATAAACTTAGCAAATGGTACTAGGCGCTCTCTTCTTCATATTGAAGTACGGAACAATTAGTCATTTTTACCAGAAACTGTATTTGTTTCATGACGGCATTGTGTCATATCATGTCACTGCATGTGTTCCTGAATTTGCTTTTCAAATGCTAAGGACAGAGAAAGTAATTACGTAGGCAGACATTCACTTTGTGCACAAACAAAATCAAAAGGATATCTGCTAGCACAGTCCTGGGCTTGGGCTGGCGTATATAGGGTAATAACAAAGTCAATGTGATTTAAACACACACTTGTACGTAGCTACATTCCGAGAACATATGCGGCTCTACTCTTAAGGTCTCTGAAAGAGCAAACGCAAGGTTAACATTGTTTCAGGTGCATGTTACTCTCCTAATGAAAACTATTTGGACTACACTGTTCCATATTAGGTGTTTAGCTTGGCCTCAGTTTTTCAGGAGATTTCAGATAAAATGGATCAGATGTTTTCAAGACTAGGGAAATGTAAACATTTTGTCATGTAAAAAAAAAAAAAAAGAAAAAAGAAAATACATTTTCTGTGAATATTTCTAAACCCACAATTCTTAGCAACGCTTGCAAGCAAAGTACAACTTCACCTCTGTGGTTCTTTGACAGAGGAAGCACATGCAACTACTTGTTAATGAAAGGGGGAGGGAGAAAGAGGACGGAGACACAATCATTCAATCGTAAGCTGAAGAGAAGAGTACTAGGTTTTGAAGTGACAGAACATTCTTAATGATTGTGATGCCCTCTGCATTGAGGATGGGACACTTGCTATAGTGACAAAGATTTCTCTATATTAGGTAAAATTACAAATTGGGGAGGGGCAAAACAACCCCTCCCCTCAAGCTTGCTTATAAGTTTGTTAGAGCTTTGTAGCTAAGAGCCCTGAAAATTCCCCCTCCTCAGTGAGGATGCTTAAGCCTCCTTTAACTGGAACGGATGACTAAAGGGTTTCCATGTCATTCCCAAAGAGCAAGTGGGCACACTCCTCCCTGGGAGTTTCATGGCATCTTTCAAAAGACTGTTCCAGGCCAGTACAATGCAGCTCAGAGCACGGTCTTGTTTTTCTATGGCTTATAAAGACTCAATGTTGGCAAAGTCTTTACACGAGGCAAAGGAGAGGAACAGGCAGGCTGGGGGAAAAAAGAGATCACACAGAGGACAAAAGCCAGACAAGAAGAAATCGGGACAAAGCCAGAAATGGACTGGTAGGAAAATTGACATTAGACAAGGAGCCTGAGAAGGGCAGCTGGCAACGTTAAGGTAGATCAGCTGAGGGACCTTGGAAGATTAAGACTAGCTAGGCAAAAAAACTAAGAGGGCAACACGTGACAATTTTCTACTGCCATCCATTTATTTCATTAGGTCTACAGCAGGATTCTATGTAATAAACCTAGAATATTCACATTAAAAAAATAAATAAATATTTGTCTTTTAGACAGCCAGGAAACTCCACAAACAAGAAAAAAAAAAATCAAGAAAATTCTGAAGCTGCATAGTCAAAAACTCACTACTAAGGAAATTTCAGAGTATATTTTACCCATTCAATTTTAATGCAAGGCCCTTTTAGAAGAGTTTTCATAATAGTTATCTTCTTCACCCTTGCCCCATTCAATATACAGGGTAAACTATTATCTAATAAATCGGAATTCACTATTTTCTAGTGTAAGATTAACAGCCTGAATGTGTTAAACTACATAAATGCTAGCATAAAATATGCATAAATATACTATATTTTCCTTTTCAGCAAAAGGTCATATCCCTGAGAATCAAATAGGCTTAGGAAAAAAACCTTAAGTAGTATAAAAAAAGAAAAAAAAATTAGATCATTTATTTTTCATTAAGTTTTCTGACTTCCTGGTATAAATGATGATAAGATATGATTTAAATAGCTTCGATTTAGCTCAACCCTTTTGATGAATTTAACATTTGTGAAACAGTCATATTATAATGCCGACTGTCATTATAAGACTCTAGAGAAAAATTAATAATTCTGTCTGGACTTCAGGGTTTGAATTACATTCAGGAAATGAGAAACTGTAAGGATAAAATCAGATACTAAGTAGTTCCTCTTTAGGTAAGGAACACGCGTTTCAAGTACAGAAAAGGAAATAACATGCTACAAAAATACAAGACCACGCAATTACAAATATATATGTCAAATTAGAATGTAAAAATACATATGCAGAAAGAAGCCAAATGAAAATTTTTAACTATATCATTTCCCAATCTTACTGCAATCATACTTTCCTTTTCAAAGTGGTTTTTTTTAAATGTATCACTGAAAGCTTAAGCTATACACATTCTCTTAGTACAATACCGATAGAATTTTGAAGTGGCAAAGTGTTTTTTTAATGATAATAGGCTCACCGTTAATGATAAGTGAATCTGATCTTTTATATTTTGAATAATGTATCCTTCCACACCAGCATGGTTGCTTGTCTTCAGTAAACACCTTGAAAAGAAAATAAGGACGTTATCTCCTCAAAGCTGCCAATAACAGCTAGCTCAAAACTTAGGTGGCGATATGGCCTTATTAAGTGGGAGTTTATCACAGAAAAATTGGGTGAATATCTAACCTTAAATCTCTAGGTTATGTTAGGACAGCTGAGTTTTGTTGGGAGGCATTTGAAATTCATTAGTCATCCAGAAATCAACATAATAAAATTAATCTAGTTTTCCAGGTAACTACAATGATTTCTGACAGAATTGCTAGGTAACTAAGTTGTAAAAAGAGTGATATTACACAATCTACAATAATTTGGATGCATACCTGAATAAGGTATATTTTCCCTCTGCATCAAACTTGTCTATGAACAACTGCAAAATACTTAAACTCTTCTTCCTCTAAAGAAAAAAGATGCATGATTTATTCTAATTTAAAAAAAAAAACAAAAACAAACAACCAGCACTTAACTCATTCTATAGGTCACATTACATACCAGATGCTCTATGGGACAAAGGGTCATAACTTTCACCAAATTCTGCAATAGGACCAAGAAAACAAAATTGAATTATATCCAGATCAATTACATCAAACTGGTTGACTACTCGAGACATTGAAACAACAAATCAAAACAACACGACCCTCCCAGCTCAAAATCATGCCTATAAGAAGATTTGATCAGGCAATTTAACATTGGCTGCAGTTGCTGAAAGCTCAGGGCTGAAACGCAAGAATAAGATCCTCCTACTGTTGTATCCAAACAAGAATTTAGTGAGGCAGTTGAATTGCAAGGAAAGGGCAAAAATTAGCAAGCACCATCTTTCAAACAAGATCAGTGCCCACCTGCCTGAGTGGCCTTTACATACACTAAGCATATTTTAATTGTCATTGAAATTTCATGGCCTAACATGTAGAAAAGACTTACTCGGGTGTTCAACACAGGAAAACATTGAAGCCTGCTGATATGTTATATGCTGCCATTTGAGTTGAACATTATACTTCCTATGTAGCCTGTTTTTAAACTCCCTATGCAGCATAGATGTAGTTAAAAAGTAAAACGTGCCGTATTACAGAAGCATGACCGGAAAATTTAGGTGCCTATTTCTGCGGAGTGTGACAACTAACAAAACATAAGACTTGTGAAAACATCACGTATTTAAACTATTCATGGAGCAAATAATAGAGGAATAACATTATATTTGAAATCAACTGTTTTAAGTTGAAACAGTGATACATCCAGCAAAATGGTAGAATGACCTTCTTAGCTAGTATTAGAGGAGTAGAAAATAATTAATGAAAAGCTTGACAGCTACAGTATGGGAAATACTTAACAAAAAAAACGTGTCTAAGGATACCTCTTGCTTTGCAAAGGAACAATTACAAGTTTTTAAGTCTCCAAAACTCAGGCCTATAAAAATTTAAAATATACAAGAAGTATCAGACAGTTGAAGGCACAAAAGCACGCTTCCAACTCTAAACAGCATATCAGTTAAGATACTGGAGGCTGAACTCCATTTACGTATTATTTATGGTAACGACACCCCACAATCGCACTAGTAGCGAGCTAGTAGAGGTATAGTAGCAAAAGGAGAAGGGGTGATGCTCCTATTTCACGTAGGTGGGTAAGGAAAGCCTTACCTATGAAAAATCCTTCTCATCCTTCAAGGAAAAGCTGTCTCTGCTTTACCTTTTTCCTCACACCCCCACCTCTTTTTCCCATTGTGTTGTATTATATTAATGCGAAAGGGTGTCACAGGCCGCACTGTTACAACGACAGTTTGTCATGAGTACCACCGCTATCACTGAACAAGCGGAAGGTCCGGAGCTAGTGTGAAGTTGGTGGAGAGTAAAACCCTTGACATTCTGCTTTGCAGAACAGTCAGTGCACATTACAGATTCCCCTTGTCCACAAACAGTTCTGTATAGCAAGACACCACAGGTTTCAATTTGACAACACAAGTGTATAAAGGCTCAGTAGTACATCCTCTCTTAAACACCTCAACACCAGCTAGATATTATTTATAATCAAACTTTAGAGATTTCTGTATGTTGCATCTTATTACCTGAGGTACAGTAATAAAATTGCTGAATTCTAAATACTGATGGAGAAGGCTATTGTCTTCCATTCTCAATAAAGAGCTCTCAAACAGATCCTGCAAGTGGGGAAAAAAATTAAAATGCTAATACTTTGCACATATGTAACACATTAATCTATTTGCTTAACATTTCACAGCTAGAAATTCCTTTGCTATAAATAATATCTTTTTGCTATAAACGCTTATTCACGTATCCAGAGCTCCTAGGAACTACAAACGTGCGTGGTAATGGTAATTCAAAGATTTATGCATGTGCATAAAGTTCAATAAACGTGGAAGAGTTTGCAAGACTGAAGAACATTAATTAAGCCTCCAAATATTTCTGAAACTGTAATTTGAACTATCATCTGAATTATCATTTGTCTCTCTCCTACAAAGGGAAAGTAGAGTTACACCGTTACTTAAGTTGGAAAGAATAAATAGTTAAACAATGAAAATTCATTAAAGGAAAAGAAAACTTACAAGTCCTTTAGATAACACAGATTCTTCTGTTCTAGAAAAAAAAATTTTAGACATTAATAAATTTAACATGCAAATGGAAAAAACACTGCTTATATTTCAGAAGTAGTAGAAGCGAGATCAAAAAGGAACCCGGCCTTCAACAATTTTCAATGTTTTCTATCATCTTCATTATTCCGCAAAGATTTTCTAGAATATACCGGACTGATGGAGAGGCTGCAAATTCGATTCATCTCTTTGAGGTCAAAAAATGGTATTTCTTCTCAATATTTATAAAAGTTCAAAGGCAGGAGCTCATGTCCCATAGGCATTAAGATATTAATTAATGAAGAGAACGAAACTTTTCCTAGATGATTCCATTTGCACAGTTCTGTAAGCCAAGGGGAAAGACACCAAGTCCTAATCTGAAGAGACCAGGAAGTTTTATTTAAATTTTACCTGGAAATGGTAAGCAGTCATCATAGCAAATCCTTCAATAGCAGTACTAGAAATTATTTTGTCAATAGTGCTGCTTACAGAAGGCCAAATAATCACAATATACAGAAAAGTCTGGTTTCCTCTAGAAAGCCTGATCAGATTTCATATCACATCAAAATATATTCAAATAAATACTATCGTGACAGTCTTATCTAACAGTAAACTGATCACAGACGTATAAATAAATATACATTCCAACTACTCTGCGTTTGTATTAATGACCTTAACTTTGCATTTTCAGAATAAAGTTTCTAAAAACGATATCACAGTACAAGCTGAAACATTAACTGAACGCTTAGGACTTTTCATAGCTCTTCAGGAAAAAATGAAGCCATCTTGTCCTGGAATTGGCCATTTTAATTCTCAGCTTTAAAAAGCTCCCCTGAACATCCTTGGTATATTCAAAGTTTCATTCAATGAATTACTATTAAAAAAAAAAAGCCAGAAATATACCATGCGATCAACAAATATCATATAAGCCTACCTTTTCAGTAGGACTTCGATGTGTGTCATATTGCATTGCAGCAGGTATGACGGACTTAAAAGAGAAAATGGTTAGGTGTACATTAAACTGCATAAACCACGTAGGTCACAGTCACAAACATATTACATAGTTACTACGTGAAAACGTATATTGGAGAGGCTTAGTCTTTTTTCAAAAATTTACACAAATATCTTTACAAAATTAATAATTTTGAAATAGATATACGAGCCAGTAAGTCAAACTGCTGTTCATAATTCTTACATGGCACCCATATATAAATTCATAATTGAAATGTTGATAGATGTTAATTTTCAGCACATCACCAGTAATACCAGTTTCTTTAAAAGAACAGCTCATGTACAATTAAATAGTAATTAAATAATCTGCAGAACTGGAGTATGTACTTATATGTATATAATATAAGCTACATAAAATAAAGACATAAATGTTACCATAAAACAAACAAAATACAGTTTTTCATAATAACTGTTTATAAAAGTTTTATTCTGCTCATAAAGAGCCTTCAAGGTAGAAACTTATGATAAGCGAGGAAGAATAGCTCTTACCTAACTACCACAGGAAAGTAATCCATACCAAAATACTGAACAAACATCAGATACGACAGACATGCCAAAGAATCCGCAGAATCCTTTCGCTCTACATCCGCAAACTCCTCGTTCTCCCAGGACAGATTTCTGCCTTTATGATGTAAAAACACTAATGGTATCAATTCTCTCATATTCCATAAAATGTCCTAAAAAATAAAGTTAGATCGCACATAATTGCCTTTAAAAGTTTCAAACTTTGTATTTACAGTAAAATCTCTCACATAGTCACAAAATATTTTCAGTAACTTTTGCTATCTATGCTACATGCACAAAAAAGTTTCCAGGAAAAATAATCACTGTTAGAAGGACGTTATTAGGATAGCAAAGTCAGGCACTCAAAAGATAGCATAAGACAAAATAAAGTCATCCTGCAAAACCCTGGTTTGGTCCCCTTATCCGCACATGCTGTGAATAATGATAGTTATATGATCACATTATGCCACAGGACCCCTGCATTTTTCAGTTCGCAGAATATTTACTTGGTATTCTGCCTTCTCTTCACTGTTCAATAGGCAACGCAAGGCTTATCTACTAAAGGCAAGCTCTGCTTTAAAGCTAGAATCATTCTGTATGGCCTTTTCTTCTAGTGATGCACAACACAGGAACACCCAAGTACTTCGCAGACATCAGTGTGTGTATGTTGGGGGGGGGGGTTTCCACACATTCCTGTGGGATTAGGAGGTAACGCAATACATATTGCAAAGACTGTAGAGGGAGCGGAGACCCCAAGGTTAACTCACTATTCTGGGGTTATCCAATTTGGACATTTCAGAGAATTAGCATTACATAACATGTCAAATATTCAAAGCACGGCTCTACTGACCTTAGCTGCAGCTCTCATTACCCCATTCTATAAATAGCAAAAGTGATTTTCTTCAGAAAAAGGAAGAAAAGATCATTTGTAATAAATTGTACAAAACGTGGTTTCAAATTGTGCCAAAGCGGTCTACAGGAAAGGCAGGGATAAAAATCCGGTTTTTTTAGAGCAGCCTTCAACCATCTTAGCTATTAGATCATCTTCTAATAATCTCTGCCTCCTTCACTGCACACCTTACAAGTTCAGCATTAAACGATCTCACGGACCAGAATCTTTTTCTTTACACCACCCTGATCGATCCACAGTAGCAGTTCCATCCTATGCTCTGCCCGAGACATCCCGTACAAAAATATGCATGTGATCATGACAGAAAAATCCAATTAGGGTTGAACAACAACCCAAAATTTTGCTAAATGTTTACTCCAGTGTGCTTCACTTCGCAACCTTAACACCTGTAAATAGAATTTTGTGTGCACAAATTCTTAGCTTTAAAAAAAACGTATTGGAGAAGAAGCAAACAGAACTGCATCGTAGGGCATCTATACCGACAGCAATCTTGCTCTAACAAAACACATTTGCTGTATAACACATTCAAAAACCAGAGTAACTGCACTGATAGCAGAGAGTGACCATGTCCCCACTACATTTCCAGCTATAGCATCAGAAGTAGTCAAGCACCTGTTGATATCTTAACAGGTCAGCTAGCTTGCACTTTAGGCACCATGTTAAAGACCTCTCTGCGTGCAACACATGCGTCAAGAGTAATGTTCAGATTTTAACTTGAGCTAATACTGCGGCAAAGATAATCCTTTAAATATCCTAACAAATTCATGTATCACCAAAAAAAAGCAGCAGTTACAGCAAAGTAGCAGCTGCTGATTCAAACAGCAGCCCAAACTGGCTTAGCAAGAAGTAAAACTCAGTCTGTGAGATTTATACGTTCCAGAGATGGGATCTGAAACTGTTCCAGACCTTTCCCAGAGTAAGCATGATCTTAGAGAACCCTGTAAGTCATCTGTAGAACTGATTGTAGGGAATTCTGAACTGCACAACTGGTTTAGCATCACTATAATTAATTTTGACTGCACTTACTATAATTTCAGTTGCAAAACGCCTAAAGGGATGTTCTTCAACGCTTTCAAGTTGTTCAAGTCGAGCTGTTAACAAGGGGTATTTCAGGCTTTTCATACAGCTGAAATAGAAAGGAGTGACACAAATAAAAGCACCAGTTAAGTACAGACTATAACAATGTCACGGATGACCAAGAATAAAGTCTATACTCAATAGCTGCTGCTATTCCTGGTATTCCAAGCAGAATAAAAAAAGAATGCCTCTCTTAAAAGCACTGCTTAAACTTCACCTCCAGAATGGTATTATCCTCACTCTTATAAGCTTGAGAAGAAGCAGAGGACTACTAAGTCAGCTCCATATCACAGAGACTGAAATTTCTTTACCATTTTTCTGCATTTAAAAAGTTATTTTTAGTCTCCTTCCCTCATCTCACAAATAGGTAGAGATTTTTTTCTTTTTTTTTTTAAATATAGGATTAGTTTATATAAATTGATAGCATTATAAAACACTAGTAAGATGATCTATATACTGCCTGTGCAGTAAATGTTAACTGCATTTTGTTACGTTATGGGAATATATTAAACTGACATAAAATGCTCACAACTTTAGTAATTCTTCCTTCAGCTCCATGTCATTGCATTCTGATGATTTTTCCATGTTTTTAACCACTTCATTCACAAAAGGCTTAACAAAGTCCACAACAGCATTACAACATTGACAGAGACCCAGTTTATCTTCTTGTATTTGTTGTTTTGTGTAAGGTACAGGCAATGGAGCAAGCTGATTCATAATCACGGCCAAAGATAAGCCCACTGAGTAGGCCTTCTTGTTCTGAAGTTTGAAAAGCACTGAAATAAAGAGAACAGTTTGAGATCTCAAATCATTACTTGCCAGAGCAAAAAGAAGAAGAAGGGAAAAAAAAGAATACATAAGAAACTTTTCAGTTTCAGTAGAGCAGAGGGATCGATGCCTGAAACAATATGAGTAAACACAGCAAGATTAGACAACACGATCAGTTAGCTTAACACACTGTAGTTAACATGACCACAGAGTTGATATTGGCAAATAAATATTAAAGCAGATACACCTTTCAACATATTCCTTCTTTCTCTATAGCACAGTGATGAGGACTGGAAAAAAAAAAAATCTGTCTTTTTAGAACTAGTGTAAGTGAATCAACATTCATTTTCCTGACTTGAAAATGGATTTGCTCTTGCTTTATCACTTGATTCTTTCTGTGCTTGGCAAAACCAAAGATAACGGACCAACATTTCTGCTGAGATCTTGACCTTCAGTAAGTCAGCTCAGAACTGTTCTATTTTCCGTGACAGAACTAGCGTGGCCCCCAGACTGAGAAAAGAGCACAAACTGCTCTCCACTTAACTGCGCTCAGTGCAGGCTACCTGCAGATTAGCTATCCAACGAAACATACCCTTCCAATTACCAAAATGCTTCTCTTATTAAATTCTAACATAACTCAGTAACATATTTCAAAGACTGCTAAAATTAGACTTCAGCTTGACAAAAGACGATTGTTTTGATCTCACATATCAAGATAGAAACCACTACTTGTTACCTACTAGTAGGCAACCATTTTTATTATTTTTTTCATGTAAATCAGAAGAATGCAATTTCTCAAATAAATATTCCAACCTACTTAAACTAGAAATAACAGTTTTATACCAGAAAAACACAAAAATATGGAATTGTATGTTTTAAAAGTTAAATAATAAAGAATTCCACAAATCAGTATAATTTTTGATTTCTGTAACAAGAATATGAATAAGTTTTAATTCTGTAAATATTGTTGGTGCCATAACACCAACAACTTACAAATGATGAAAAATAGCTGAATACTGATTTTCAACTGATGCTACCACTTCTCTCTAATACCTTTTTATAACAAGCCAACACAAGCATGGAAATTATACCTTGTGGTATTTTACAGTAAAGCCTGTCAGGATAGAAGTGTTCTGAAACTATTTGAGTAAAGGCTAAAATAATTCAATAAATTAACAAGAAAAGTATTTAGCTCAACAATCACGCAATAAACTGAACATTACCTGTCTGCAAAGGTTGAAGTAACAACATGACAGTTTGGCATACTTGCTCTCCAGAGGTCTGCTCAATCTGCTCAAGTAAACCCAAAAAAAGTTCCTTTGGATTACATAGCTGCAAGAGAAGAACGATGCATATTTTTTAATCATCACGGTCATGAACTAAAAACCCCACCACGAGCACTGTGACAGAGAATCTCTTGTACATCAAATAAAGCAAATCTAAGCATCCAAAATAATTCTTAAGAAAAGCAAATATGAAGCAGTAAGTACTTGCTAATGTTTTCTGTAGAACGTATATGTGTATACACTGTCATACAAGCTGAAAACACAGCAAATATAATTGCACTAAACTCAATTCCTATAGTCTCTAAACACCTTACAGTACCTTAGCAAAGAACCATTCCTTAGCAGTATAGATTAAAAAATAAAAAAAAGAACCTTCAATGTGAATGTAATTCAAGCAATAGAATTGGCAAGCTGTTTTCTAAGTAGCTGAGTGAAAGGAAACTGGTTTCCTACAGATTAAGGCTTATTTCCCTTCTACACCAGAACCATCAGATAATCACTGCCATACCTCCTATTTCTGCATTAGACAAGAAGTAGTATTTCCAAGGCTGGGGCTATCGCGGTGCCGACTGTAGCAGCAGGACGCCAAAAAAAACCCTTCTAATAGATGAGCTGCCTTTTCCTTCACAGTAGTGCTATAGCTCTTTGTTTTGCCTGGTTACTAATTTCATGAAATTTTTAAGAGGTTTATTTCTGAGAACACTATCCCGGTGCCTAATTCAGATGAAATTCAGGCCTATGAGTCAAAAAGTTATGGGGAACAAGCAAAAGAACCCAGAGTTACTCATGCCTTGTTTTCTTTGGAAATCAGCTTAAAAAAAAAAAAAAGTGTTACTGTATTAAAAACTATGTATTTCAAAAGCATACCTGTACCAACTGATCCAGTATCTTCAGGCAGTGTTCCCTCTTATCATCTTCCTGTTTATACACTAAAATACATCTAACTAGAGGACAAATGAGATTCCAACCCATATTCTTGATGATAACCTGCAAGCCAGATTTTCAGAGAATAAATCAAAACTGGACATCTTCTAAATATAGAAGACTGTACATACAATGATCAAAAATGAGAACAGATCAATGCCTTGGTTCTAACCAACAGCAGATAATACCATTGAAAGCTTAGTATCTATTATAACAGGCTTCTGTGCTTGACATACTTTGTATTCTTTCCCCATATCTGGCAACACAGCTGCATATTCCGTATAGTTTTCTTCAGTGTATTAATCCTAACATGTCGTTATACGTTTCCAGATATTTATATGATAAAACGTTTCAAATAGGAGATTTTTTGCTGGTTTTTGAATAGACAAATCAAGGAAAGAAAATTTAAAGAAATTATTGTTGGACAATATTTTGTCCACGGGAAAACCCATTCTTTGAAGACCTTCAGTTGCTACTGAAGATGATCACAGAGATCATAATCAGACTCGAGCAATATTGCCAAAACATTCCATCCCTCCCTTCCTTTCAGACTTCCTCTTTATCTATATTCAACGTAAGTACGTTCTCCCAGCCCCTCAAAGCGCATACACACAATTTCTCTTCCATTAGCATCAGCTTAGCTGTTTGCTCTTACGGTTTTGGCCAATGCTGTTATAGCCATCTGAAATTCTCTCTCCTGCCACAGAGGGCCACTGTCACTTTCTGTTCGTTATGAGGTTGGCCTCTCTTCTCCCTTCTGCTTAACTCACAGGAAAACAGCTGTTAATAGCTTTGTTAAGATTACTGTGACTTGAGTACACAAGTCATAGTAACTCAAATTACACTAGAATGTGCACTTCACACAGACCAACTGATTAACTATTCATATGTGCACCCTTACTCCATAGTGAAAGTAGCTTTCCCACCTCATATGCAGTTTTAACTGTTAATGGTGTGTTTAGCACACAGCTAAGACGTAACATAAATCTAAACTTACCTTATTTTTCTCATTTTGAACTACTTCTAATAACTGAGCTGCATATCCATCTTCTAAACACTTCTGGCCTGCTACCTGAAACAGATTAAAATCTTCTCCCCTGAAATCAGCTTCTTCCAGAATTTGCTAGAAAGAAAATACGCATGTTTGACTCTGTATTTTATAAAAGACAAAAAATAAGCAAACCCAAGCTTTCATTGCAAAGTCAAATGGAATGTCTTTTCTTGCATATCATCTTTTATATACTAAAAATAATTACTGAGAGCCACTACAGAAGAGAAAGCAGTATTTCAATAGTATTTTCCAAGTCTAGACAACAGCATGTTACTTGGGAGATGCATTTTCTGCAACAATCTGCTAGCGTTTTGTTCCTTCACACAGCTACTGCTGAGTGAAACAAGAACATATCTTCCTCCAAGAGGCAGAAGTTACCAAGCATCTTGGGATAAGCACCAAAGAGAAGGCAATGAAGCATGAAGGCTAAACCTAGCTGCCCAATGAGGAGTTCTGCTAACAACCGTCCTGCTTTTAGGGTCATTTTGCTTTTAATTACAGTGTATAAAGACAAACTTACTCTGCTTTCGCCTACAACTGTTATGAAAAGTACTTACGCATCTCTGTATTATGGCTTGAAGTTCATCAACTGCCATTATAGTTTGACTTTGTTCTTCTGGCATTTAAAATTTCTGTAATAAATTAAAAAGAGTGCAATACTAAACCACCCAAAGTAAAAACAGAGGTTGAAAAATAATCACATTGTCAAAAGAACGCTGAATAGAGAAATGAGAAGACTCAAGACAAACATATTACGAAGACTGAATTATAGAAAGATAGGAGAAAAGCATCTTTAAGGAGTGTATGCTATATTATTCTACCTCCTGTACTTGCAGGAGATACTATTTTAGACAGGAAGCAGCCTACATTGCGTACAGGGGAGTAATTTTTCAAATGTTATCAGAGGTATCTTAAAAATTTGTCAGCAGGCTTTGGCTACTACATGAACACCTACATTGAGAACTGCAACTACTGCAGAGCAAGTCTGGACTTGCTGCGTACCAGGTGCGGATGTCCCCGCTACGCTACATTTGCTCTGAATATGCTAATCAGATGAGCTCTCTGCTTAGATCTGACTAGAAGGCTCTAATTAGATGATGCCTGGGATGTGCATAGCTGATCCAACCACCGTGCCAGTTTATATCAACACCGTTTTAGTCTCATAAAGATTACATGTGCAGTATCATTTACTTCTTTCTACTGCTGGTTCAGTGGCCTTTTACCTCTAGACACTACAACTGCTGTTGCTGAAAGCAGTTAAGTTAAACATTTGAGTAAAATTAAGTGCATATCAAGTTCTACCTGGTCAGGGCCATGACTTACAAATAAAGTCAAGTTCAGTTTTCTCACGTGATATATCATAGCGGTAGTCACATTCTTTCTTTATGCTTTACGTTAATTCCACGTGCATAAATATGGTTACATAACCACTGTGACTGTATGCACAAGTCACTTGCCTCTGCCCTTGAGTGAACAGCTAACTCTCACGAAAATATCCAAGCTCCGTATCTATACGGCCATCTCCATGTACGGTTCTCCATCTTTCCCCTTAAGTTTGACCATAGCTAACGCAATACCTACGCATCTAAGCTATTCAGATATTTACAAAAATCAGTCAACTCACTATAACCTATAAAGCACCCGTATGTGAATTTTATTACTGAAAGAATAAATAACTTACTTTCTGTTCTAAATTGCCTATTTTAACATTTCTACTTCACTCCAATGTAGCAATGCATCGGGCCTGTCATTTTAATTTTGTGATTATCATACACTTTGTTAGCATTCACTGCACTACTTCAGCTCTTAATTTTACAGGATCTTACTAATTCCCCCCAAACAATGTAAAGATACTTTTGAACGTTAATAGCCCTGCATTTTCAGCCCTCAGTAACTTTATAATGCATTGACAGCCTTGAGGCATGCCCTGAGCTGCCAGGGATTTGCCAGCTGAGCCCAGAGCCAGTTCAGGTCTTAACACTTAATCCACTTCCGAATTAAGTCTTTTCAGTGGTTTCAGTAGCCAACGACACCTGAATCACGAAGAACTGTCCGCTACCAATTCTCAAGCGAACTGCCCCCTCACTGGTAACATCCAGTTGTTTTCAGCCCCTTCCCTCGCTGGGCGACGGCACGCAGGCCAACGCGAGGCGGCTGCCGCCC